TATGTGTGTTCGCCCTGCGACAGACTGGCGACCTGTCCAGGGTGTACTCCGCCTCACGCCCTATGACAGCTGGGATAGCTCCAGCGCCACACGCAAAAAAAGGATAAGCGGAAGCGAATGGATGGATGGATATTCTGCAGTACATCAAAACGAAAGAAAACCATTAAAACCCTTTGACTGCCTCACCAAGATAAATACAATGAAAAATTATTTGTTCATATTTCTATTCCTTTAGGTCAATAATGATCACAATCAAAAAAAAAAAAAAAATTTATACACACCTTATAGTTTTTTAAATATTACCCTCTACCAAACGGTTGAGATGTCTCTCTATAGTACAACTACATAAAGTTCTACAGACATAACTAGTAGAAAAAGTAAAGGTTATACTCATTTTGCAAAACAATAACTACCCAATTTGTGTTTGACCCACTTTATTGTGGTAGTAAAACATCAAACATTGATGGATTCCATTCAACAGTGGGCGTCATAATAACAAACCACAAAATGTATAAAACACAAAATATTGTAAATTTGATCAAAACTTGATCTGCAATTACCGAAAATTCATAAACATACAAATTCACTTTTGACCTGTGTTAACATAACTTTTCACTGTAGTGTTGGAACAGCACTAACATTTTTTTTTTTTTCCCCAGAAAATTCTGGTGGTATATTATATACCATTGCCATTTTGCACTGAAAAATTTGAGAACACACTGAAACAGTTCTGGCTCTTTTCTTTTGCCGTTCATGCAACTTCACCATACCCTTGATGATTAGATCTTCTGGTGGTACACTGCAAAGCATTCCTGACTGGCATTCAAGCACAAGAAAACATTGCATTTTTGGCATTTCCATCTTGAGACGCCCTTTGGACAGTAATTGCATCGGCCTCGCTTGTCAAAGTGAAGTGGCCAATGCCCAAAGCAGTCATATCGCACATCTGGCTGTGGTTGTGAGGGTCTTGGGGTGTATCGTTTCTTTGGTGGTGGTGGAGAGCTGGATGATGGTTGGCCAACTTTGGATGCTGGCTGTTGACTTGTTTCAAGCTATGCGCAACTGCCAGGCGGAATCTTTTGAGTGTGATTGGTTTCTGGTTTAGTTGTCCACATTCCCTCTTGTAGACCAGCCAGGAATTTGCAATGGACAGATCAAGCATGTAACCAAAGAGTGGCAGTACCATCTTGTAGACTTGGCTGGGGTCTTGTACAGGTGTACCAGCATGTCAGAGAGATCTATCCCTCCCATATGCTCATTGTATGCAGGATGAGTGTGGCATGGGATCATAACTTTCGCCTTGGACTCTTTGCTCCAGTGTTTGACAGTTGAAAGTGGCATGATCCCAGAAGCATTACTTAGCAGGTTCACACATTTGTTGTCAAACCATTTAACTGCGATCACACCTTCAGCAGACCTGTAGTCAAAAGCTCTACGCCCTCTCTTCATCAGCTCTTTGTCTGTCATCAAGTGGCTCCACCTGTGCGATTTGGTCGAACAGTGCCAATGCACTTGACACCCAATGAGGTGTCTAGGTGCTGGACCAGCTTAAAACTGGTAAAATAGTTGTCACAGAACACAACAGAAAGCCTTGGCTGTGTTATGGTTTGGCAAAGTGTTGTCACCACTTTGGCTCCCAAAGGTAACATCTGCTCCTCTTCACTGAGGGTAACGTTGAAGAATGTGGAAGGTCCCTGACCAGGTCATGAATGATGCCAGATGAACTTGCTCGGCAAAACACCTTAAAGCCCCATTCGTCTGGCTTGTTGGCAATATATTGACGGAGATTGCCAGCCCTTGTGCCTTTATATGCTACCATGACCTCATCTACGCTGTGCTTATTTGTTGATGGCATCTGGAGGCATTGCTCACGAAGCATATCAAAGAGAGGTCTGATTTTTTTAAATCGGTCTTGACTCTCATTGCACTGCTGATTATCACTGAAATGAATGAACCGGCGAAAAAGCTGGAATCTCTTCTTTGGCATGATATCTGCTATCACACTGAAACGTGACTCATGGTGCCAGTAATCCTCTAGCGATGGAAAGTTGAAAACACCCATGAATAGGAGGATTGCCAGAAAATCTTCAATTTCCTTAGGGCTAGTCTTGATTGTGTCCCCCAACTCTTGAGCAGAATACAGATTGGTATGATAGGCAATATGATCAATCATTTCATCAGTGAAGAGCATTTTGAAGTACTGGAATGGGGACTGTAGGGCGTCAGGCGTTTCGAAACTTGCATCTGGAACTTGAAATTCTTCAATGTCCTCATGCTTCCAGATTCTTCTTTTTTGGGACTAAAGAGGAAGATGGGTCTAATGTATCCTCTGCTTCATCCAAGGGAACTGTTTTTAGGATAGGTTTCCCTTTTTGCTCATTTTACGCAAAAGTTTATTAGATCTACTTGTTGAAGGAGCATCTTCATCCAGGGAAACATCAAAGCAGCTTTCATCACTATCATCTGCAAAATTGGGTTGAAAATCTGGATCCTCTATTGGGTCATCATCACTCAGTTCACCATCGGAGTCCTGAGAATTTTCAGGTACAAGGGCCAGGTAGGTGCGTTGTCTTGCTCCATAAAAGGATTTGCAATCCATCTAATAAACATTAAAAAAAATACAATTGTAGAAATATAGTTGGTTTGCTTTCCATGTGTCATTTAAAACTGTACTCTAAAAAATAATCACAGAAAGTGAGTAAATCTTTAAACATTAGAACATTTTGTAACATACAGTATTTGTCATGGAAAAATGTAAACATGTCATATTTACATGTATAGATCATTAAATTATTTATATTCAATAGTAAATAGTCAATTTCATATGTTAAAACAGCAGTTCTAAACATTAGCTAAGTTTTACTACTCTTACCATCAATTGACAAATCAACCGTTTGGTTGAGCATGTTTTTAAAAAAATATTACGGATTTATTACAGCTATTTTCTGGTATCAAATGACATAATCATGTTCAGTAAAGACTCTGACATGTTTATACTGTAGAAAAATGTACTTACCTTTAAAGTTTTTAGCCAAAACAGTCCATGTGTCCAGAGTGATTTTTTGCTTTCTGATTTCTTGGTTGGAGGGTGGCAGATGAGGCCTGCCATATCCTGACACAGTGCCATCTAGTGTTTTTTTAGGATAACATAACTCAACCAAGTGGTAGAGATGGCTCAATAAGGTTGAGTTAAGCTAAGTACTCCAGTTCATTATATATAGTCTCTCAAAATATGCTAAACCAAATGTTTGAGCAGGCAGTCAAAGTTAATCAACACATGAACATTACCTCTGAAGTTACAGCGGTTTTATTACAGACACAGCGTTTTGCATAATTTAAAAAAAGTTTAAATTTGTGCAGAAGCCTGTTGAACGGCAGAAATTAGGTTTTCTTTTTGTGTGCGTGACAAACAAACAAGATTTTAGACGGGACACACACACACACACACACACAGACAGACAGACAGAGAGAGAGAGAGTAGTTTACGTCTTTGTGCAGAACCTGAGATTCTGGCGTTTCAGGCAAAATAAATTTATACTTAAAAATCCTTTCAGGATTTTAATGAATCGATTTTACGTTATCCAAGCTAGAATCAATTTTAATCAATAAATCGATTATCAAAACCCAGCCCTAACCAAAATCCTAAAGTGAACTTCCTGTTTTATGTCACCAGAGTCGCACTGAACCAGGAGAGAGTTTACTCAGCTGAGCAAGAGGAGAACCTCACAGACCGCTTTTCACAGCGCCCCTGCTGGGCATGAGAAAGAATGCAGGTTTAAAATGCTGCACCCACGTTTTACATCAGGGTGGGATCTCCAAGGGCCGGTGTCCTGTGGGTTTTAGATCTCAACCTGGCCAACACACCTGAACTAAATGATTAGTACAGGTGCGTTGAGGAGGTAATGTAGCCATTTAAATCAGCCGTGTATGCTCGAGGACACGTCCACAACCTGCAGGACACCGGCCCTCGACCAGCCGAGGAGTGGCTTAGTGACCAAAACAAAATAACCAAGATTATGATTTAAAATAATCGTGAGCAAAACACTAAATCACTGTTCCGACAGCCTGACTGCCTGCAGCGGTTTAAAGGGTGGAGCCTAAACTCTGGATTATTGTTCATGGTTTTAATTTATTACGCTAGAGTACACATGTATGTTTCACGTTATGTTACTCGTTATTCTCACGTTTTACTCATTTCACAGAGGAGCGTTCGGCCTGGCTGACCTGCTGAAGCACAGGTGCGTTTGATTTCCATACCTGTGTAGTGGTGAGCAGGATGGGCTGGCTGCTGCCGGTGCCGGCGGCCGCTGGAAGTAGGAACGTTCCACCCGCTGTCTGAGTCAGGATGAGTGGTGGAGCTTGAGCCATCAGGCGTGGGGCCGTGGAGGCAACAGGGAGGCGCGGGGCAGAGGAGGAGGCGGTAACGACAGAGGAAGGAGGTATCACAGAGGAAGAGGAGACGACCTGGGCAGTGATGAAGCTGAAGAAGAGAGAAAGGTTAGCAGAAGGACTCGGTGAAAGCTTTACGGAGGGACGTGGAAGCACAGACTGCTCCTCCACATCCAGGAACACCTTCAGCTCACAGCACCGCGTCTCTGCTGCTTCAGGCTGTTCCAGGATCAGCTTCAGACATCGTCACGTTGGTTCTCCAACAAAGCTGCTGAAGCTCTGCCTGTCCCAGAGAAGAGGTCTGCTGCTTTACCTTTGACCTGCTGACCCTTTGCTGCCACTTTCCTCCACACTGTGTTAGCTCTGCTGCTCTGACACACGAACATCAGACAGAGAGCGCCACACTCAACACCTGAACCTGACGACACCTGTAAACTCAGCTTATTCATCTCGTGCTAGATCACACAGTCAACAGTCATGCTGTGAGAGTCTACAGTAACACAACTGATCTAAGCATCCAAGTGAAGACGCCGTCTGGGGCTCCTGTTGTGTCATCGGCTATTCAAAGAAACACCGAACACATACCTGTTGCAGCAGGTGTGATGATGGGTGGGGGGTCCTTGGAGGTGGAGTCTCAGAGACTGGGAGTGGAGATGGAGAATCCTCCACTACATGGAGAGAGAGAGAGAGAGAGAGAGAGAGAGAGAGAGAGAGAGAGAGAGAGAGTCTGGTTCTAGGGTTTGACTCAGGTCCAGAGTGTCCAGAACTGGTTTTAGAGTTTGGACCTGGTTCTGAGACTCACCTGGCTCTCCATAGTTGTCCATGAAGTCCATGTCATCTTCCTCCACACTGTCATCCACCTGTTGCCATGGCTCCAGCTCCTCCTCCTCACACTCCATAAACAACTCTGTATCCATGTTGCTATGGAAACCACCAGAGAAACCATCATTGTAACCACGATAAAAGAAAAATCTGACCAGCAGCATTCCACTACGTCACATGACATTGGTACACTGGTACTGCACACCTGCAGCTTAGAGTTATATTAACCTGAGAGCCAGGTGAGCAGGTGATCTTTTCACAGGTAACTTTAGCTGTAAATACTCGAGTGCGTTTAGTTTCAGAGAACACTGTGAGCCCAAAGACCAATGAGAGAAAGGCGGAGTCGTCTCTCAGCATTACCACAGTGACATTAAACCAAAAACTACAAACAGACATGTCCTTCAGGGACAAATCAGCTGAAAGACTCTGTGTTGCGTCCACAGCCTGAGGACGGGTCCATCAGGTTTGATCAGCATCACAGACGCTGATGTTTGTGTCAGTGAACCTCACAGCTGCGCAGTTCAGTCCCGGTTGAACAGAAGTCGGTAGATTTAAAACATTTATGATTTAAATGAGGACACATGTGCAGTCCAGTCAAACACCTGCGTTTGCCGAACACGCTGATCAGGATGACCTGACCCCGCTGATCACGCGCACAATCACGGCAGCGGCGTTAGTGTGGACAGACTTCCGGTCACTGTGACGTTTCGATGCCTTCTGTTGCTGCCGTTTGTGCTCTGTCTCTTTGTCACGGCCCTTATTTTAAATAAAGTAGTGGTGTGATTAACAAAGGCTGGCCTTCATTCGCTCAGCTGACGGTGAAGTTAAACAACAGCAGCTCTGCACAAACTCTGACGTCGGTAAATCTTTTTAAATAAAGTTGGGTTCAATCAGCTGTAGTTGCAGGTGTAATGGCAGCTGCCGCCACAGGGGGCGCTCAGCCCGCTCTCCGGGGTTTTTGTTCCTTTCAACCCGGCTGAGACGCGCCTGTCGGCGGGGACCCGAACCTACAGGCCGAGCGGGCCCAGCTGAGCCGAGCCGGGTCACCGGGCTCTCGGTCAGGACCAGAGCTCAGCACGCAGCGCGCACCCCGTCTGCACCGCCCCGCCGGGGGCAGCTCGTCGCTGCACGCCGAGCGCCTTCCGAAAGCTTCAGCGGGGCCTGCGTGTGACGCCGGGACAAGCCGTGCCGGGCCGGGCTTACCTGAAACTGGAGCGGCACCGCAGAGCTCGGACGGGTTCGCACGGCTCTTCTCGAGGCGCGCTCCGGTTCGACAGTCAGGGGGCGGGCCTTCCGCCCGCTGCCGTTTTACAACTGCGGATTGGTCCGCACAGACACGTCACTTCCTGTTCAGGTGGCCCTGCAGCTCATTGGTCAGTGGAATCTTTGTGGAGGAGCTGAACCGAGTCGCGGCCGTCAGGATAGAGGCGAGCAGACCGGATTACCGGGCCGGGGACAGCGGGCTCCGCGGCCGGTCAGCGGGGAGCGACGGGCGCCAGGACCGCCGCCACGCTTGGGCCAGGGCGCCATCTTCTTTTTGTTTGTTTGGATGGGGCGTGACCAATGTCCGTGACGTCACGAGCTGAAAAAGCGCGTCGTAAAATAAAAACGAGTTTATTTTTCAGGTGTTTGTGCTTCAGAAAAAAGTACCTCACACAGGTGAGGCTCACCTTTCAGCCAGGTCTCAACACAGTGGCACGCGCACTGAACTTCCTGTGACACGCTGTGATGTCATAATGAACCAGAAGTTTTCCAGAGTGTCTCCGCACAAATCACGTAAATCTAAAATGTATATTTTCTGAATCATTTTCAGCTTAGAGCAAAGAGAAGGTTTCATAAAATAACTAGCCCTGGCAGCATAACGTGCCGTTTTTGTCCCCGTGTTTCTGAAGCACACACCCACAGAGTGCTGATGTGGATCTGCAGACCTTTAAATTAGACTTTGGTTAGTAGAGTTTACTGACAGAGCAGATGAAACTCGAGCTGCGAGCAGGACTGTTATATGTATTATGTAGTGATTTTATTCTGATTTTATTTCATTTTATTGTTTACCAAAGAGCAGAGCGTCATCGAAGTCAATGTTATTGTCAAAAACTACATGTACAGATCACACACAGGAACCTGCAGGGCTCCCGTGGCCCTCAGCGTTACACTAAACAACATGAAAGTCTTATACACACAAGTGTCCAACACAATGCGAGTGTTTGTGGGCACTGTGGGTCAGAGGGCAGACGTGGGTGCAGGTCTGGTCGACAGGTTCAGCATCCTGACGGCCTGATGGATGAAGCTGTCTCTCAGTCTGCTGGTTTTGGCCCCGAGGTTCTTCAGTCTCCTTCCTGATGGCAGCAAACTGAAGAAGCTGTTGGACGGATGGGTGGAGTCACCTGTGACGCAGAGAGCTTTTGGGTGAGGCGGGTGCAGTAGATGTCCTGGAGAGAGGGAAGAGAAGCACCCACGATCCTCTCTCTGCTCTCACTGCTCGCTGTAGCTGTTTCCTGCAGGCCCAGTGCAGCAGCCGTACCACACGGTGATGCAGCTGGTGAGGATGCCTCTGTAGAAGGTGCTCATCGTGGGGGTCGAGGCTCTCGCTTTCCTCAGTTTGAGCAGGAAGTAGAGTCACTGTTGGGCTTTACTGACCATGATGCTGTGTTCTTTGACCAGGAGAGAACTTCTGAGATGTGCACACCCAGGAACTTGGTGCTGCTTACTCTCTCCACAGCAGCACCACTGATGGTCAGTGGGGTGTGCAGGGTGTGAGTTCTCCTGGTCTATGATGATCTCCTTGGTCTTCTCCACGTTCAGGGACTCAGCCAGATGTTTAACTTCACTCCTGTCGTAGGTCTCATGGTTGTTGCTGATGTGACCTACCACAGTTGTGTAGTCTGCAAACTTGAGGAAGCAGTTGTGTGATGGTGTGCAGTCGTGGGTCAGCAGAGTGAAGAGCACATCCTCGGGGAGCCCCCGTGTCCTGCTGCTGGAGGTGCCGACCGACTGTCATCACTAACAGTTTCTTCTTCCTGCCCATGGCAGAGATTGGTGGTTTGTGGAACTGATTCCAGAGCAGCTCTGTGCTGGATAATCTCCTCTAATCTGTTAATCCTCCTTCTTCCGTCTAGTTTAGCTCCCTCTCAGTCTGTTCTGACCTGCAGGGATGAAAGCTGCACATTCTGGGGGCTTCCTGGTGCTGCCGTGGCCCGGTGGCGGCGGCAGCTCAGACCCGGCCCAGGGAGAGGAAAGTCAGGGCTGCCTGATGCTGAGATCTGGAGCTCTGCTGGGAGTCACGCTGATCTGTAAGATTTAACTTCTCATTAATTCAAACAGTGTTACATTACAGCCCAAATAATGTCTCAGTTAATAATACAGACTGAGAGCCACTGACCTGCATGAGGACAAATACATTCTTGTTGTTCTGCATTCGGGGTCCAGATCCACAGCTGGAGCCGCTGCTGCTGCTGTGAGCTTACATGCAGAGTCAGTTTTGATGCAGGCAGGTTAATGTCAGCGTTCCTCGAAGAGTTCATGAAGAAATACAAATGCTGAGTTTCTCACAGAAATAACAGATCCAGGCCTCGCCCCACTGCTGCCGTACTGACAGAGAGTGTGTGTGTGTCTGCAGGCGTGGCGGTGTTGAGGAAGTGGATCGCAGGTGGAGTTTGTCGCTGTTCGGTTCGTCTGGATGGGAGAACAGTTGTGATCACTGGAGCAAACGCTGGCATCGGCAAAGAGACGAGCAGAGATCTGGCACGCCGAGGTCAGCCCGGTTTGATCCCGTCTTACTGCCCGAACACTCGAGTGTCTCCTACAAGAAAGGACGAAGCTTTAGAAGCTGCTGACAGGGAAACACTACAGTCCCATGTTGTGGGCGTGTTATTGTAATCTGAGAAACACCTGTGATCCAGCCAAACATTCCCACGCCATAACACTGCATCCACCCTTTTCTCTCCATCCTCCTGATACAGCTTCATCTCAGTTTCACATGTCCAAAGACGGTTTTCAGAAAGCGCTTGTTTTAAAGTCTGATCGATACCCAAGGTCTGCACCTTGTTGTATCTCCATCCATGAAAGCATCGCAGTGATCGTCCTGCACAGCGTTTCAGGCCTTTTAGACGCTGTGAAGTTGTTTTTCTTACCATGGAAATAATTCTGTAATCTTCCACTTCAGTGTTTTCTGTGGTCGTTAAGGTTCTTGGTGCTGCTGAGCTGTTTGGTGCATTGATTATTTTAAACACTGATCCACTGATTTGATTGGCTGTTCTTTAGTGAACGTGGTGCTCAGCTGTGGAAATCTTTCTTCGTTTCACTCAAATGTGATTGAAAGTCATTCGACATCTGTAACAGTTCAAAGCATTTCTAGAAGGTCATGAAAGAAGACGAGATGTGCGCGAGGGCGACTAATCCTGGCTCAGCAGCCGAGGCCTGGGCGCGTCCGAGTGCTGCCGCCATGTTTCCCACTCCAGGAACAGAAACTCTTCTTTCTGTTCTCGTGAAAGCTGAAGTCTGTACATGTTTCACCTCACCACTTACTTTAAAAAAGCAATTAGTTACTAATTACTGATCACTTACTTAGTTACCTTATTACTTAGTTGCTTTTCAAAAAATGAATACACAAGCTGAATATGAAATAAACTGAATCGACCTTTCAGTACATTTTGTCTTCATATCAATTTGAATCAAATGTAAAAATCTCTTTGTTGTTTTATGAGTTTTAACCTTTTAACTTTACGCATCAAGCAAAAATGAAATTATTTCAACTGCATGTTCCAGCATATAAAATAAAATCATGTTTTGTGTTTGCACAGCGGACGCTGATGTGTTTGTCACTTGTTACTGCATTAAGGAGCCCGGGTAGTGATGGCGTGCAGGGACCTGACCCGGGCAGAACGGGCGGCTGAGGAAATCCGCCGGTCGACAGGAAACGGTAACGTGGTGATCAGACACCTGGACCTCGCTTCCACGTACTCCATTAGACAGTTTGCTAAAGACTTCCTGGACAGCGAAGAAAGGCTGGACATCCTCATCAACAATGCAGGTGAGCGCACCTGTGAACAGGTGAGCGCACCTGTGAACAGGTGAATGCCCGTTCGTCTTTTTGTCGTTCTGAGCATCCGTCTGTCTGCAGGAGTGATGATGTGTCCAAAACAGCTGACCGAGGACAACTTTGAGACACAGCTGGCGGTCAACCATCTGGGTCACTTCCTGCTCACCAATCTGCTGCTGCCGAAGCTGAAGAGCTCCTCCCCCAGCCGTGTGGTCAACGTGTCCTCCATTGCCCACCGTGGAGGTACCCCCAACCTCTTAAAAGATCTCAGTGCTGATGATGTTTGCGTTGTTTCTTTAACACCTCATGTGTTTCTTACAGGTCGTATTGACTTTGACGATCTGTTCTTCAGCCGGAGGCCGTACGGCGCTCTGGAGAGCTACAGACAGAGCAAACTGGCTAACATCCTGTTCTCCAGAGAGCTGGCCCGACGTCTCTCAGGTCCCCACAAACACTGAACGCCACAAACGCTCAGAGGTCCCCGTAAATATTCAAAAGCCTCAGAGGTCCCTACTGTAAAATGGTTTGACGGGAGGAAGGGTTATCTCGCCTCTCAGCGCTGTGATGTGATTGACCGCCGAGCTCCCGAAAGTACCTGTGAACCCGCCTCCTGACTCTGTCCTCACCTTTCCTGCAGGCTCTGGTGTGTCGTCGTTCTCTCTTCACCCAGGCGTGATCCGGACCGAGCTGGGTCGCCATGTGGAGGGTTGGTTCCCCCTGGTCGGGCTGCTGCTGAAGCTCCCATCCCTGCTGCTCATGAAGACTCCGTGGGAGGGCTGCCAAACCAGCCTGTACTGCGCTGTGACGCCGGGCCTGGAGGAGCTGTCTGGATGCTACTTCAGGTAGGAGGCAGGGGAGGGGCCGAAGAAACACCTGTGCCTCTTTCTGTTCCCTGAGCATCTCAAAGTGTTAAAGTCCGAGGAGCAGAATTCAGGTAAAACAAGAGTAGACGGCTCTGATAATAAATGTGGGCGTGTCTGAGCTGCTGAATGGTAAACAAATAAAACCGTTCTGAGATCAGAGTTTTCACTTCCTGTCATTTCTCTGTTTCCTTTCATGAGATTTCTCCTCTCTCAGCTTTAAGTAGTAAACACGTTCGAATAAATGGAATAACTTTTTAAAATGATGTTACTGAAGCCCTCTGCGTTTCTGCCTGCCAGCGACAGGGTGGACTACTTTGTTTCAGCTGCTGCTCGCTAGCTTGACTGTCAGCGTGCATCCGCAGGCTGTGAGAGGCTATCACACTGACACAGATACCTGCTAATCACTAACATCCAATTAAAACCCACAAATTTCACTCACCTAAACCAGAGCTCCGCCTTCTTGGACATTAACCTAACAGCGGCCATATTATTGGTCAGACGATGTCATTAAAAATGAGGCTCCGACAGCACAAACACAGAGCAGAGGTCCAGGTCGCGCCTGCAGGCAGCGAGCAGCTACAGCTGCCTGTGTCAGCATCCACTTGTTGGTCAAAGAGGCAACGATGCAAACTTTGAACCTGGACGTTAGAAGAGCTGCAGGTTTTGAACTTCGGGTTGATTGATGAACAAAGACACGTTCAAACATTGCAGAGCTTTTCTGGGGTTATTTCCATTTTAAACACATTAAACTGAGTCACTTGTTCATTGTTCATATCTGTGTTTGCAGCGACTGTGCAGAGAAAGAAACTGCTCCAGAGGGACAGGACGATGTGGTGGCAAGAAAACTGTGGGAGGTGAGCACACGTCTGGTCGGACTGAAGAACACCTGCTGACCTTTAACCTCTGACACACGAAGCAATGGAGCTGCAGACTGCGGACAAATGAGGACAGAAACAAACAGATTTACCTCTTGTAGAGACAAATGAAGCTCTGTGTTGTTGCCCCGTTTGAGTCCCAGATGTTCCAGCTGCTGATATTTGTCCTGTCCTCCAGAACCTGGACTCTCATGTGCAACATAAACCTCCATGTCCCCCGACTGTCCCCTCGCTGTCCCTCACTGCTCCCTAAATATTTCCTGACTTTTCCTTCGTTTTTTCTCCATTGTATGTTTATTATTCCATCACGTATCTTCATGCTTTCCTCTTTTGATGCTTTCGCTGACTTCCTGTGTCCTCCTCTTTACTGGTTGCTGATGTGTGGAGTTCAGCTGTGTGGACGTGAAGCTTTGGGTGTTATTAAAGACAGTTTGACTGTTTCTATACTCTGTGTGTGTTTGATAGATTCAGTAATAATAAATCCAGAATGCTCTGTGGGTGGAGCTTGGCGAGCACCTTTCTTTCCAATAAATGAGGCCTCATTTCTTACGCGTGGTTCCAGCTCTTCTTGGTATCACAGGGTCAGAGTGCTCCAGAAGGGTTCATTTTTCAGCTTTGGGATTCTTGCAGTGACAGCATGGAGACACTTGCTCGGTAATAAGAAAATAATGAGATCCTACCGCCGGCTTTCACCCTTAAATATCCGTCTTACCTTCTCATCCATGTCGTGTTTTGGTGCATATGCTAAACTGGCCCTCCATGATTTCTTCTTCATGTTTCAGATCATCAAACAAAGCTAGCCTGTAAATACTTCCTCCTCAGAGCAGCATTCATGGTTCCCTCAGTTACAGCGAGTCGGACCACCACCACAGCTGCTGCTGCTGGGATGTTCTCTTTATGAAATCCTCTGTTAGTGTCGTGCTGATGTAACTGGACTCAAACTTTCCAGAGTTCAGCTTTGTCTCATCAGTCCACAGAATATTTCCTCAAAGCTTTACACTGCACTCGCTGACGCCTTCAGCAGCTGCCGGTCGAACCACAGCAGGGAAACTGAGCGGGCTGAAAAAAGCTGCCTTTAATAAACCCGAAGGTCTCTTATCAAGAGGTGCCTGTGGAGTCTGTTCCTTGTACCGGTGGGCCTTTCTGAGAGCTCTAATGGTCTTATTCTCTCATTGTAAAGCTGTCAGTGAACCATCACACAAGAGCAGGTGAGCAGGTGGCCATCGTAGTGCAGGAAGGCCTCAAAAAACCTTATTCTGAGGTCTCTTGGAACAGAAGCATCAGCAGGTTTAAACGTGACGCTAATGACGAGTGAATAATGAAGACGTGTTCAACATACAGTCCCAGCCAACCCCACGGGGCTCGTGGGTGATGAAGTCCCTGCAGTCAGGCTGGATGTGACATCTTTTTGAATATTTACAGCCTTTCCTGTTGAATAATTGATGACACAATCCTGAAAGGGGGGGGGCACTTCTACTTCCTGCTGAAATGGCGGCTCCAATAGTGGGGGGGGGGGGCGAAGACTTCCTGCTGAGTAACGATGGATGATAAAGAAACTCACAGTGGACTGACTGTTATCTGAATCGCTTTTATTTTTAGTGAGTTCTTATCTTATTTTCAGTTTATTACTTTTATTGTTTGTTTATTTATAATAAAAATAAATTTGGAATTATAAGAAAGAAACTATTTTTAACCTTTGTTTATGTTTAACTTGCTATAAGATGGCTGACAGGCTCTGTGTCGCCCCCTGGTGTCATCCAAGTAAATGTACTTGTGCTGTGGAGCTGCACTTTCAGAAGGACGCGTGATACGTCATCGCATCCTTGCAGCTGTGCATGGTTTCTATAACACAAATAAGAAACTAAATCTTAAAAATAAATCGTGTGCAGTACAAAGTACAATCTGTTGATCCAGAATAAAGTCAAACAGTATCAGAAAGTAGCACAAGTACATTAAGCGTGTACTTAGTAGAGTAAATCTTTAAGTTGCTTGAAGACGTTTCACCTCTCATCCGAGAAGCTTCTTCAGTTCTAGGACTGAAGAACAGGGGCGATACAATCAGAGCTTTGGGGGTGCTGAGCACCCAGAGAGCTGCCCAGCCAGAGCAAGATAAACTTTACTCGTCACGATGAGACGTCGTCTCTGTCAGTCCCTGCATCCTTAAATGTCTCCAGTTGTCCCGAGTTGTCTCTGACTGTCTCCTTTGTGCATTTAAACGCCTGTTCCTCGTCTGTTGTATTCATCTACGTTATCAGTCATCAGAATTTTACCGTCTCTGTGCAAATTTCTTTATTAAATCATAAGATTCTTAAATTCATCAAGTCTCTCTGTGCCTCTCGGTACGATCTCCCTACCACCCATTTGTTTCACTATTTTCAAATTCGAAATTTTGTTGCCAAGTGTTTCCCAAATTTCCCTCTTTGCCTCCAGAACAGCAGTGGGAAACTACGCTATCATTTATTCCTCATCACAGAGGAACCATTTCAAAACTCTATGACGCTATTCTGTCTTTTGGTAACCACTCTAATGTTAAGCTTAAGTGTCCACGGGAAGGAGAACTAGGAATTCAAATCCATGAGGAGTCTTGGGAACAGGCTATAGCGAGGGTACGATCGTCCACCTCCTGCGCTCCTCTTGGACTTATTCAATTTAAGGTCATACACAGGGTGCATTTCTCTGAATCTAGACTTTCTGAATTGTATCCAGAAGTGGAAAACAAATGTGATGCAAATGCAAGCCCGATCCTTTTATTTAGCAAAACTGTGATTAATAGATAAATATTATTGTTGAGGGGCACAGACAGGACTCTAACAAATAAATAAATAATAAATAAATAATTATTTTGTTTAGGTTGCCTCAACAAAAGGGCACTTTGGGCACCCATCAGGAAAGGGGCGGGTGCTCAAGCCCCTCCAGCCCCCCCCCCCTGCACGTGCCTGTTGGGGATGTTTGATTGATGTTGGTGTCCTAACAGGAAGTACATCAGCACCTGGTCACATGTTCCCAGCTGATCCTGCTCTTCATGTTCACTCTGAAGAAGATTTTCTGAGACACTGGAAGCTGCAGGAACACAAATGAACCCAGGAAGTGCATATTTGAGCAAAATCAATACTTCATTCTTTATGTTTTATTGAAACACGTTCAGAGTGAGGAGCTTTTTCTTTGCTTCTGTTTTTAAAGCTGGTTCTTAAACCACAACAGGTCCAACTCACCCCACCATGAACATACTCTTATTATAAGCAGTGCACCTATATACAGCTGCAAACCTCTGTCACACACAGTCTGCACAGAGGACTCTCTCAGGACCAAGGGTCATGGTCGGGGGGGGGGGGGGGGGGGGGGGAATGACTGCCTTCAGAATAAAAGATGTGCCTTAATGCTGAAAGTGACACTTTTCAAATGGCACAACTGTTATGTTGAAGGTGCAGATTCTCCATTTAATTTGTTTAAAAAAACCAAAGTGGGCTTCATAGATAATTGGCAAACCTTCTGGAGGAAACCTGGTCTTGTTAGGAGAGACGGCATCCATCCCACTTTGGATGGAGCAGCTCTCATTTCTAGAAATATGGACAAATTTATTAAACCCCCCAAAATATGACTATCCAGAGTTGGGACCAGGAAGCAGAGTTGCAGTCTTACACGCCTCTCTGCAGCTTCTCTCCTCCTGCTACCCCCCCAAAAACCCATCTCCATAGAGACTGTGTCAGCTTCCAAACAGACCAATTCTGTTTACATTATACATGCTTCCCTTAGGCAGCAGCATCAGAAGGCATAGCATACATTTGACACCCAGCTCTGTCCGTGAATTCAAAGTCCTGCTCCTCACATACAAGGTCTTAAATAATCAGGCCCCATCTGATCTTAATGACCTTGTAGTACCATATCACCCTATTAGAGCACTTGGCTCTCGCTCTGCAGGCCTACTTGTTGTTCCTAGAGTATTTAAAAGTAGAATGGGAGGCAGAGCCTTCAGTTTTCAGGCCCCTCTTCTGTGGAACCAGCTTCCAGTTTGGATTCAGGAGACAGACACTATCTCTACTTTCAAGATCAGGCTTCAAACTTTCCTTTTTGCTAAAGCATATAGTTAGGGCTGGACCAGGTGACCCTGAATCCTCCCTTAGTTATGCTGCAATAGACGTAGGCTGCCGGGGGCATGATGCATTGAGTTTTTCCTTTCCAGTCACCTTTCTCACTCACTATGTGTTAACAGACCTCTCTGCATTGAATCATATCTGTTATTAACCTCTGTCTCTCTTCCACAGCATGTCTTTATCCTGTCTTCCTTCTCTCACCCCAACCAATCACAGCAGATGGCCCCGCCCCTCCCTGAGCCTGGTTCTGCCGGAGGTTTCTTCCTGTTAAAAGAGAGTTTTTCCTTCCCACTGTCACCAAAGTGCTGCTCATAGGGGTCATATGATTGCTGGGTTTTTCTCTGTATGTATTATTGTGGGGTCTACCGTACAATACGAAGCATCTTGAGGTGACTTTTGTTGTGATTTGGCGCTATTTAAATAAAACAGAATTGAATTGACCTGTGAGTGTTACGGGGCTCAGAGACCAATACGTGGACGTGGACCCAGATATGGATATGAGTACGGGAAGCAATGGTAAGGTTTCTCACAAGCTTTATTTGGTGACACAAAGAAAACCCAGAGAGGTACTGCTACAACGTGTGTCAGATGTGCGGGGCTCTGTGAACAGAGGGAAAGGTTTATCAGCAGAGGCTCAGGAAGCCCGGGGTGTAGATGAGGAGACAGACTGAGTTATGGCAGGTGGAGTGGTAATGGCATGAAGAGAAGCGTGGATAGCCGGGTGAACATCCAGCAAGGGTGTAAACAACCTCCAGGCTGATTGATAATAATAATGATAATGGATTGGATTTATATAGCGCTTTTCAAGGCACCCAAAGCGCTTTACAATGCCACTATTCATTCACTCTCACATTCACACACTGGTGGAGGCAGCTACAGTTGTAGCCACAGCTGCCCTGGGGCAGACTGACAGAAGCGAGGCTGCCATATCGCGCCATCGGCCCCTCTGGCCAGCACCAGTAGGCAAGTAGGGTAAAGTGTCTTGCCTAAGGACACAACGACCAGGACAGAGAGCCCAGGGATCGAACCGGCGACCTTCCGGTTACAGATACGCTTCCCAACCCCCTGAGCCCCACGGTCGCCATCTGGAGATCCAGGCAGATGGGGAAAGGTGGTGACCAGCGTCCAAGAAGTGAGCGGGCTGCAGGCAGTGGTGAATCCAGAGACCACAAGGACAGTATGGTAAGTTATCCATAGTTACTTAGTACGGCGAGTAAAGATGGCCTGTTACTAACACAAGTTAGCTGACAAACTGGTGAAGAAGAGATGTGGACACTGGTGTTAAATACTAAGTGGACTGATTCTTATACAGCACTTTTCTACTCCAGAGTACTCAAAGCGCTCTGTACAACGTGCACCATACTTGGTGCTTTCTGACTACATGCAGACACATTCATACTCTGATG